CTAAACGTAGACCAAAAAAACAACAACAAAGCACAACAAAAAATATATTGCATTAAAAAGCATGTAATGTATTTCAAATGTAGGTCCAATTTTTTCTTTAAGCACATTTTTTGCAAGCTAATACAAAACAAAAATCATGCCAGATCTATTCTCTGAAAATAAGTCTTATAGTATCTTATAATATAATTATAATAATATATTTTACATCTTTAAATTCTCAAGGAATCTTGTTTTAAGGATGTTAAGATGTTACTGCTGACAAATGCTGATTAGGACATTAACATCCATCCATTTACCATAAGAGCTGATAAAGTAAGAGAAGATGTATTTCAACCTTTGAAAGCAGCTTCACAGCTCAGAACAAGAGTGAAATCATACAGCCTACCAGCTGCAGTGTTAAAGGGGTCATGAACCGAGAAACCAAAATGTTGATATATAAGAGGTCATTGTACCATAAAAAACATCCTGTAAGTTTCAGAACTAAAAACTTTCCCATTAGTTTAAAAACAACTTATATTTAAGGCATATATACAGTACATGCTGCTTAGTGTTGTTTGAACATCACAAGTAATGGTTTTAATTTGAATGTGTGCAGTACCTGAACAACACTTCATAGAGTTTTCAATTGGCCATCACTTGGCCAATGTCATTAAGACTCTTATGATTTGACTCCCAGATGGAAACGGAAATGGAAAAGAGTCTTTCACAGGACGAGAAAAACTAATATATAACAAATTCTTCTAAAACCCTTCACACAGGTTTGATTGTTTATCCAGAGGTATTTTGAAAAGTTAATGCAGATTATTCATCTGCAAAGGTCAGGATAAGCTTGATGTCCTCAAAATAAATTGCAAGATTTTCATGCATATTTCTGCTGTTTTCTCCTGTTAAAATCCAGGATTAAAGTGATTCACGCAGCAGAAGTATAGCAGAGAGATGGAAATGCTTTCGGACACCTACGTGCAGCCTGAACAATTTTACTTAAGAATATTTTATTAAACTATATTTTATTAAACCAAATGAAATCCACATTTCTATGAAATCCTCTTTTTAAAGCAAAAGTAAAGTGCATCCATCTCATAGTCCAAATCACTGAAATCAAAGTTCAGTATTATAGTGTAAGAATGACAACATATCCACGTGTTCTAGTCTACTAATAATAAAATTATAATTAAAAAACACTTTTTAAAGGAGTATTTACCAGAAATGTTATTTACCAGTAAATGTGCAGTATTTCTGAAAAAAAAAAAAGAAAAAAAACTTTATTTTTAAAAAAATAAAATCAATTATGCTTTTGCAAAAGATGCTTTTGATTATTAGAATTTAATGGAACCATTAAAATGGAATCCAGAAAATAATGAAAAACAGAATTTGGTAAAGATAAAACTGTAAAACTCAATTAATTAGACAAGCTTTTTGATTAATACAATTTTAATTTAACCATTAAAACAGAGTACAGAAAAATGAAAATGGAAAAAACTGAATTTGGAAATAAAACGGATTTCATAGGGCCCTATAATTATATAAAGTATGAAAAGAAAGAAATCATATAATTTTATTGTTTTATAAACAATAGAGCTAATGTACATTACGCACTACAACAAAGGCCTGCAGAGGGTGCCAACGGCCTGATGATTGTTTTTACACATTACTGTGCGATCTTATCCTTGTTTAATATTGACCAAGCACCATTTAATTCAAATGTCCACTTAATCTTTAATATTTGGCCATTTATTTAGGACATAAATGCTATAGCCACTGTAATTAAAAGAATATGTGGACATCAAAACGCGTAAACTCAGAGTGAGGGTTTGAGCTTTTATTTTGTAACCGCGAGATGATGTATTCTCCTGTGTTTACATAGATTTATAAATGATTTACCTTACAAATCTGATGAAATGGTACGTTGCGTTCCCAGATGAACGTTATAATAAACCCAAACTCACAACAACATGCAGAGATGGAGTTTGAGACGCTCCACACATGTAAATGATAACAGTTCCTGTGGAACTACTGTGAGTCGCTGTGTGACGCATGTACTTAACCTACACGCATGTAAATAATTAAAGCGCATATACTGTATTAGAACGGCATCGCATATAATTATTTAGCCAATTAAATCGTAGTGTTTGTGATTCACAATTATGCTTAATTATGGTTTAATATATCATGCAGCCTTGGGAAACAGTCTAATAATGTGTTTTATGGATTCTCGTCCGTGAAATGCGCCACTTCTGGTATTTTGGTGGTTAGTCGACGCGAGCAAAATGAAGTCGAGGATTTAAAAAAAATCGAATAGTCGAATAAAATTGACGAATCGCGACAGCCCTAAATGTGACACTCTATGATGTAATAATGTGGATAAACACCGCCTCTGCAGAAGATCAATGCCTGCTTCTACATCACGGTCTATTTAGCCCCGCCCACCAATTCACACACGTAGTGTAAATTAGAGCCCTGCATTTCTGACTTTTTTACGCCCCTTGGGCCGGGCTTCGTGCCAAATTTCACATCATAGTTAAGACGCGGGCCTCTGACCTGTTTTAGGCTTCTCCGTATTTTATATCAAGAGTGGCTCGACGGTGTTTAGATATGAAGTGTTAGTAATGAAGTTCCTGATCCTAACTCGCCATCTCCTCATTAGACGCGCCTTTAGAGAGAAGTGGATCATTATGGATTATGATTATAATGAAAGAGTTTTTGTTTTTGATTGTTCGATTGTTTGTTTTATTTTGTTAAGTAATAATTTAAAGCTTTCTACAGATATATTTATCATGTCTGTGAGGCATCTATTCACTGAGTTTCGGTTCTTTTTTGTGAAGCGCTCCTGCTCAAGACCGAGACGGCAGAAAGAAATGTTTGTTTTCTTTATTTTATAAAAGCACAACGTTTTGTTGAGTGCACACAAATAAAAGTAGACCCTTTACAGTTCCGAATGATGTATTACTCTTACCTTTATGAGCAAAAATGACGGCATATTTTAAGTTGTTTCCACTGAAAAACATGCAAGTGATCGCGCTGGCGCCTCCATGTCCTGCAAAGCGCGATTCAGCTTCCACTCTCCGACTATTGGATATACCTGCTTGGTCTTTTAACTAACTAAAAATGCTCCAAACTTTTTTCTAAATTAACTTAATAAAAACGAAACAAAATAAAATTACTTTGCCATTACATACAAAACTGAACTATTTTAATATCTGAAACAGTAGTATAAGCTGTTTTGGGAGAAGGGGGGAAAAAAGACAGGCTCGGGTCGAACTCGGGCCAAGAATTCTGATGAGCTGTCAGACAAGGGCCGGGCTAGGGCCTGAGCGTCTCGGGCCAGGGCCGGGCTAGGGCCTAAATTCGAGGCCAGTGCAGGGCTCTAGCCTAGCGTAAATAACAAGAGGCAAACGGAGAAAACAAACGATAATGATGGCTCTGAATACAAGATGCTGTGCAGTGCCAAGTTGTGGAAAAACAGGGTTTGCGTTGCCTTCCTTCTGATCCAAACGTTAGGAAAGAGTGAATTAACTTTATTTTTAATGAAGATCCAGACGCGTCAGTAAGAACTTAGTCCTTTGTTCACTTCAATTTGCCACAGATTCGTTAACAAACAATTCTTCGACACAGGATTTTCAGAAAGACAAACTAAAAGACGATGCTGTGCTGACTATGATCACATTAAGGTGAAAGCTGAGATAATGACAATTCAGTTGAAGATGGTTCATCTGACCTGACACTGAAAAACCAAGCCGCTGTTACCTATTGGGTGTTTTGACGTCTGACCCCACTCTCTCTCTCAATCACCAGCTCTCATTCGCTGTAACTGCATTGAAGAGTGACAAGTACATTCTTCAGAATGCTTTCTTGAGATTGTGAGCATGTGATTTTAAATGCATGATTTAAGTGTGCAATATGCATGATTGTGATGGTGTGAGATTGTAAGCATGAATTAGTATTAGTGTTAGTATTTGTGTAATTGTGCGACTGCCTGATTTAGAAAGTGTGTGTGATTGTGTGTGTATATGACTGACTGATTGTTAGTGTCTGATTGTGGGAGTGACTGAGCATGTGATTGTGTGCATGTGTGCGATTCTGAACGTATATGTGTGTGTTTCTGTGATTGTGAGCTACCGATTGTGAGAGTATGTGTGTGATTGTATGTGTTTACGTGAGTGTTTGATTGTGAGCTTGTGAATGTGTGTGTGATGTTTGTTGATTGTTAAAGTCTGATTGTGAGTGTGTATGTGAATGCTTGTGTGATTGAGAGCATCTAATTGTGAGAGTATGTGTGACTGTGAATGTATGTGAGCATGTGATTGTAAGCCTGATTGTGAAAGTATGCGTGCGATTGTGTGTATAAGTGTTTGCACGATTGTGAGAATCTCATTGTGAAAGTGATGGTGAGCATGTTATTGTGGGTGTCTGTGTGTGATTGTGAGAATCTTATTGTGAGAGTATTCTTGTGATTGTGCATGTTATGTGAGTGTTTGTGTGATTGTAAGTATGTGTGGGTAATTGTGAATATATGCGAGCATGTGATTGTGAGCATATATGTGATTGTGAGCCTAATTGTGAGAGTATGTGTGTGATTGTATGATTCTGAGAATTTGTCATTGTGAGTGTCCTTGTGTGATTGTGAGCATCTGATTGTGATAGTATGCTTGTGATTGTGCATGTATGTGAATGTTTGATTGTGAATGTCTGATTGAGAGAGTATTTGTGGGATTGTGTGCATGAAAGTGATTATGAGTGTCTGATTGTGAGAGAGATTGTGAGCATGTCGTTGTGAGTGTCCTTGTGTGATTGTGAGCATCTGATTGTGATAGTATGCTTGTGATTGTGCATGTATGTGAATGTTTGATTGTGAACATCTGATTGTGAGAGATTGTGAGCATGTGATTGAGAATGCAAGTGTTTGATTGTGATTATTCTAAATTAGTATTTATGTCTGTGACTGCATGCATGTGGATGCTAATGTGAGTGTGAGCATCTGATAGTGAGAGCTTGTATGTGTGATTGTGAACGTGCGATTTCAGATTGCACAATGACCCAAAATGCCAAGGCTTCAGATGTTTGGAAATTTCCAGTAAGCGTGCGTATGTTCTTCCACACACCTGTGACGCTTCTTACCTGTGATGGTATGTGATGATAGCAGTCAGTGCTCTCACACAAATACGGTAACACATCAGGTGCACTTTCTCACTGAGAACATTTTTCACCCTGCAAACACACACAGCGACACGTTAACATCCATTAATGGCTTCACAGATATGTTGGTTCAGCACTAGTTTAAGAAAGCAAAACAAATGACAAAAAAAATCATCATATAATTTTTTTTTTATTTAACGAATTTTCCTACCTCCCATTGGGCAGAAAACCAATCATGGTGGTGAAGACAACCAATAGGCTCACTCCTGTGATTGCTAATGTTAACCTGATAAACCAAAAACAAGGCATTTCAGCTCAAACACTGGAACAATCTTTACAAAATGTACCCTTTAAACTATTTTTAATTTAAAAGTGCACAGTAAGTTTTGTTTGCATTTTTCTGGATTTGTGAAACATATGTGAGGATGTGACCTACTCTATGTAGAATATTCAGTATTCAGTATTCATCTCATATGAATGTATATCATTTTAATATTTCATCATTCGATTTCAAATTATTTTTATTTTTTATTTGTAGCACTTTTTTTAGTTAGCAATAAATTACTAAGTGCACCTTTAATATAAAAAGTCAAGTTTTTACTTTTGAGCCTTTGACTGGAGATACAAAGATAGAACAGGATATTAATGAAATGAAATGGAGAGAATGTAATATGTCACAGGCCAAATATAAACCTACATAGCTATATGATCACCACAGCTCCAAGAGCACGCACTCCCCACCGCACCACAGCTCTCAATGTATGCTGCTGAAAAATGTAAGCAATGATACTGGGCATTTAGGTTTCTGTCCATGATTCAATTAATCCCACAATACCCAGGTGAGAACATCTGATTAAATTGAGCTCAGCTATCAGGCGCTCTTCCTCATCTCAAATATGCACACGCGATGCACACTGACATTAATCCTACACAAGCTCCATATGACCCTGAGGGGGCGTCAGAATTAGCCTGTATTTTAAGACGCTAAATTCAGACTTGTGTGCCAGAACAGAGCAAGTGTCTCAGGGTGGGCCAGTTAGAATGATGTCAAATTATAATGTCAGCCAATCAGAAATAAGGGTTATTATTTATTTAACACTCTAATTGGCAGTTGAATGTTACAAGAGTTGCTTTTTTTCTGCTCTGTCATATGACATACAGGGGTCCCTGTGAGCAGAGGCGGACAGTAACTAAGTACATTTACTTGAGTATTGTACTTAAGTACACTTTTTGAGTAGCTGTACTTTACTTGAGTATTATTTTTTCTGGGAACTTATGACTTTAACTTCACTACATTTGAAAGACAAATATTGTACTTTTCACTCCACTACATTTCTATCAAGGTCCTCGAAGTAGAAAGTTGTTACTATGTAGCAGCTTTGAAAGTCAGTGGGTGATTGTTTTCTTCTCTATAACGTGACTTTCTATCTTTTTCAGACAGTTTATCAGTAATCACTCTTGTAGGGCTACATGAAGTGATTTCCCAGCATTTTTTGAACATTGCAAATGTGATATTTCTTTACAACAATTCAATAATAAGAAGTTAATATTGTGGTATATATTAGACAATATTGTCTGATTTTGCTAAATTGTGTACATGAAAATATGACCTATAAAGCAATAGAAGAACTGTTGTGCATCTCCTAATAAAACACAATAGGTGTTGGACTTGAAGCAGAACTGCAGACTGTTCAGTGCATGACCAAGTACCGCGAGAGCGATTAGATAGCATTTTTAACATTTTTGTTTTGATGTCAAATAGTCTTGCTGTTTTGCTTTTTTGTTAAAGCAATGTTGCTGTTGTAAACTTATACAGCTACAGTTGTGTTCCTGGGTTTTAAAGCAGATTTGATTTTTTTTTTCTTCCTTATCAGTTTGTATTTACAGGATTTCACTGTCCACTCTTTTCAAATGTGGATGAATGGCTACACATAGATGTGCTTCAGAAGTATTGCAAGTATTACGCACAACAATAAAACAGTGCATTGACATAAAAAAGGAAATTTACTTTTGGTACTTAAGTACTTTTAAAAGCAAGTACTTCTGTACTTTTACTTAAGTAAAAATCTGTCTTTACAACTTTTACTTGTAATGGAGTAATATTTGACCAGCAGTATCTGTACTTTCACTCAAGTAATGGAGTTGAGTACTTTGTCCGCCTCTGCCTGTAAGTATTATAAGGGATGAGAATTTAATGTACAAATGTACCCAACAATGAAACATGTACTGTATCTATGCTGGATTGTTTTATCACAGACATGTAAATGAGAGCAACAGTAGTTCTCTCTGCTCCTTTCTTCATGAAGCAACGGTTTCTAATTTGAATACTCTGTGCTATGTCCCCAACAAAAAAAACACCCAGGAAGTAATACCATAATTTGAGACCCTAGACCACAAAACCAGTCATAACTAGCACAGGTATATTTGTAGCAATAGCCAACAATACATTGTATGGGTCAAAATTATCGGTCAATATTACAAAAATAATACAATATTTTTCTTTTATGTCAAAAATCATTAGGATTTTAAGTAAAGATCATGTTCCATTAAGATATTTTGTAAATTTCATACCGTAAATATAACAAAACATAATTTTTGATTAGTAAAATGCATTGCTAAGAACATAATTTTTGATTAGTAAAATGCATTGCTAAGAACTTCATTTGGATAACTTTAAAGGCGATTTTCTCAATATTTAGATTTTTTTTTTTGCACCCTTTTTTGCACCTTTAAACTATTTTTTATTTAAAAGTGCACAGTAAGTTTTGTTTGCATTTTTCTGGATTTGTGAAACATATGTGAGGATGTGACCTACTCTATGTAGAATATTCAGAGTATTCATCTCATATGAATGTATATCATTTTAATATTTCATAACATAATTATGATTAGTAAAATGCATTGCTAAGAACTTCATTTGGATAACTTTAAAGGCGATTTTCTCAATATTTAGATTTTTTTTTTGCACCCTCAGATTCCAGATTTTCAAATAGTTGTATCTCGGACAAATATTGTCCTCTCCTAACAAACCATACATCAATGGAAAGCTTATTTATTCAGTTATTCATAAAAATTGACCAGATTATGACTGGTTGTGTGGTCCAGGGTCACATTTGTTACATATCGTTGTGTTACTTTGTACGCCAAGATACTTCAAAGATTACCAATGCACTACCATGGTACATGTCAAAAAACATAAAATTACCATATGTATTAAAAAGCCATGTGTAACTCCTCCTGCAACACCGCCATCAATCCCGAACTACTTTCCAAAGGTTTTCCAGATCAAAGAAGAATAAGCGTGACCAACAGCAAACAAATCCACGATGTTTACATCTGCTCACCCGGACCATGTGCACAATCAAGCACAGAGGTACTACACATACAGAGGACAGCACATTGTTTGTGTCTGCTCACCCAGACCATGTCAGTGCACAAACAAACAGGGAAGTGCTACCAGACAGCGCGCTTCCTCACAAAAAGACCGGACCCAGTCTTCAGGCCTCTCTTCCGATGCCCACTTAATAACTCAACCCACCTGCATGGCCACGCCCTCTACTACTAGCCACCTCCCAGGCTACATTTTTCCCCCCAGAAATTAATTGGTGTCCCGCCAATGCACACACACACCAAAGACTCTTCGCCCAAGAACAGCACATCAAATCTCTTTCCAGGGCTACAACTCCTCTACTGGTGCAACTACCGGCCCGGGCAGTCTATATGGATTTGAGTGCTGACCTGCTGTAGTTCTCCTAGAACGCCTCAGCCCTAAGGGTTGAGCCTCTGATGCAGCGCAACTCTCCAACGCCCCATCCTCAGCTATCGTAGGGGGTGACACATCACAATCCCCTTGTAATAATACACATGAGACCGCATCACTATCTGAGTCAGTAGCAGGCCCACTGCTGGAGCTAACTGGTTCATCAGACACAGTAGCATCCACCTCACTTAAGACAGGGTCAATCAATGCCTTACGCATTTCCATCCGATGGACCTGCTTCACAGGCCCTGCCTGAGACACAGGAGCCATGGAATACACAGCACCCTGTTCTCCTTATACAAACATGAATCATACACATCCTGAATTTTATTTTGCCCACGATAATGGTTTTTGAGGTAGACCAACTCGCCCTTTCTAAAACCCTGGTCATTTATTCCACCCTGATAACGTCTGTTACGACAAGCAGCCTTTTCTTTCAACCTTTCCTGTACCTCACTATATGCTGCCTGAAGCCTACCTTTATGTTCGACAATCCACTGTTCAGGCGTCTCTACAGTCTCTTCCAACTGATTGTTTAACAAGAAATCAACCGGCAATTTGGGTTCACATACAAACATTAAGAAATGTGGGCTCATACCAGTAGAGTAATGCACTGTGGTATTATAAGCATAGACAAGCTGCGGCAGATGTTGAGGCCACTGCTTCTTTTTCTCTGGGGGCAAAGTCCGCAACAGGTCATGGAGAGTCCGATTAAAAAGTTTGCACTGTCCACTACCCTGCGGATGGTACGGTGTTGTGCGACTCTTCTGTACACCATAAACCTTACATAACTGACCAATAAGGTTACTTTCAAAATTTCGCCCTTGGTCTGAATGTAGACGACATGAGACCCCAAACAAATTAAACCAATGCCGAACCAAAGCCTCTGCCACAGTGCCTGCTCGCTGATCCCGAGTCGGGATAGCTTGCGTAAACTTGGAAAAAACATCAGTGAGCACCAAAACATTCTCCCTCCCATCACTTGCCGGCTCTAACAAGGTCGAATCAATGGCCAAAATTTTGTGAGGCCGGGATGCTTGTAACGTTCCCATAAAAGACCTCACCTTCGGTTGGACTGTTTTAGCGAGAATACACCGCTGACATTCCCTACACCACCGTTCCACATCTCTCATCATCCCTGGCCAATAACAACAACGCTTCACTAATTCTGCCATTCAATCTTTACCTTGATGCCCATGACTATCATGCAAACTGCTGAACACCTCCCTTTGAAGTTTTTGAGGTAACAGTAACTGATAGATCTCTCGATGACCATCAGTTGTATACGATAAACGATAAAGGCACCTATCCTTCTCACACAATCGATCCCACTGCCTAACCAGCTCCTTTACAGCTCGATCCATACCAGTCAACTCTGAAGAACGTAAAACACTGCCCACATTCCAAGCCTTTATAATAGGGCCAATAATTGGGTCTGTCTTCTGAAGGTAAGAGAGATCTTCCTGTGAACGTCCAGGCAATGCAGCAACTTCACTGGCACTCACCACTATCTGTTCTGGAGATCT